ATCAGAAGAAAACATTTTAAACAATAACTAAAATTAACACCTTCAGTGAGATGATAAAGTATCATGCCAAAAATTTTGAAAACAAACAAAATGGACACAGTCTTAGAAAAATATAACTCAACAGAACTGAGTCAAGAATAAATAAAAAATGTGTACAGTCTTATAGTCATACAGGAAATGAAGGAAGTTAAAGCAAACATGCCAAGCAAATACCAGGCTCAGGTGGTTACACAGGTGAAAAACAGATCATACCAATATTATGCAGACTTTTCTTAGACAATAAGAGGAAATAATATCCAATTCATTTTAAAGCCAGCATAACCCTGATACTAAAAACCAGAGAAAAATATTATGAGACAAGAGTATGACAGACCCATGTCACTCATGAATAGAAATGTTAACGATCCTAAACAAAGTATTATAAATAACATCCAATAGTTTCTGCACGAAGATAATACCCCCAACCAATTTTGGTTTATACTGCGAGTGTAAAGATTGTTCAGTATTTCGAAGATCTGTAAATGTAATTCATCAATTCAGTACACTAACTTAATACAGTAAATCATATAATCACCTCAACAAATACAGAAAAAATGTAATAAAGTTAAATACCTATTCATAATAAAAATTAGTAAATTATGAATAGAAGGGAATATCATTAATCTCACAAAGAGGAACATTAAAGAAAACATAAATTTAACATCGTCTTAAATGGGGAAACATTAGGGGCACTCCATTTAATATGAGAAATAAGCTAACGATTCCAACTAGTACCATTTCTAATCCTCAATGAATTACTGTTCCTTTCCAGTGCAATAAAACAAACAGAAGCAGGAGGATTGTAAGAAAGAAATAAAGCTGCTATTTTTTGAAAATGATATTGTTTAAAAATCTCAGAGAATGCGGAGGCAACTTTCTTAGAAGCAGTAGGAGAGCAGGGAAGTCACAGGAGTGATAACAAAGAGACTAGGTATAATACGACCACACAGAGTTAGCTGTGCTCTGTTCACCAGCAGCAACCAGGAAAGCATTATCTGAGAGAGTTTAAGATGAAAGCAGACTGTCAAATATCTAGAAATAAGTATAAGAAAAGATGCACATTATATCTAAGCAGAAATTACAAAACCTTAAGAAATATTTAATAAAATCTAAATAAAGGAGGGATGGGGCAAGTTCATGGATCAAAGGATTAATACTGTGAAAATGTAATTCTCCCCTAAATTAATCCATAGTTCAATGCAATTCCAGTCAAGAGCCTAAGAGGATATTTTGCTGAACTTGATTAGATAATTTAAGATTTATATAGAAGAAAAAATATAAAAAAAAAAAACAGGCAGTGTGTTTCCAAAGGAAAAGAAGAGGAACTTGTTTGTCCAAATATCAGGACTTATTTTGAACCTCTAGTAATTAAGACTGTCTGGTATTGATGCAGGAATAGAAATACTAATCAATGAAATAGAATGTATTCCAATTAATGTCTGCTATATACAGAAGTGGTCAAATCAGTGACTAAAAAAGGGATTGTTTAATAAATACGAAAAAAAATCATGTATGTGGAAAAAGGTAAGATTAGATTTCTTCTCATATATTTTCAAGAAACCAACTCCTGATTTATTACAGACTTTAAAAAACCCCAACACTTTAAACTTTTGTAGAACATCTGGGTTAAGGTCTTTTGGACCTTGGGGTAGAAGGAGATTTTTTATATAAGACACAGAAAAGGTTGATAAAAATTTACTGTATTAAAATTAAGAATTTGTGGTCATAAAGACACACTGAAGAAACAAAAAGATGACTACAATCTGGAAGAAGATACTTGCAATATATACAACGTATTAAGGATTAGTATCATGACTAGACAACTTTGATAAATCAATTAAAAAAGAAAAAGCAAAGAGAATCCAATAAGACCAAATAGACATTTCACAGAAGAGGAAACAAGGATGGCTAATAAACACAACGTAATGCCATATTATACCATTCAATTAACAAAAGTTTAAAAGAAACTGGCAATATTAAGTGTTAGAAAGGTTACAGATCCACAGGTTCTCTGAAACATTGCTCATAGCATGAAACTTTTTGCAACCATTTTGAAAAACAGATTGGCCTTGGCTGGTATGACTCAATGGACTGAGTGCTGGCCTGTGAACCAAAGGGTCACGGGTTTGATTCCCAGTCAGGGCACATGCCTGGGTTGTGGCCCAGGTCCCTGGTAGGGGGCGTGTGAGAGGCAACCACACATTGATGTTTCTCTTCCTCTCTTTCTCCCTCTTTTCCCCATCTCTGACATAAATAAATAAAAATCTTGAAAAAAAATCAACAGATTGGCATTATCTTTTTTTTTTTAAGGTTTTATTTATTTATTCTTTTAGAGAGAGGGAAAATGAGGAAGAGAGGGAGAGAAACATCAATGTGTGGTTGCCTCTCACACGCCCCCTACTGGGGTCGTGACTGGCAACCCAGGCATGTGCCCTGACTGGGAATCAAACTGGCAACCTTTTGGTTCATAGTCCAGCGCTCAGTCCACAGAGCCACACTAGCCAGGGCCGGCATTACCTTCTAAATGTGAGCACTTATGTATTTTCCTAGTAATGCCACTCCTAGGTAGAATCAAAGAGAAACTTGCACACAGACAGCAAAAGACATGTACAAGCACATTTACAGGCAGCAATGTTCACAAAAGCAAAACCTTTGGAAAAACTCAATGCCCATTACCAGCAGAGTAGCAGAGGACACTGATTATATTCACATAGTTGAATATTATAGAGTAGTCAAAATCACAGACCAGCAAAAAGAAAAATGGGGCAATTTTAAATTCAGGACAAAAAACTTAATTTCTCAAGTTATCATAGTTCGTGACCTGGTTCAGTATGAATAATATATGACCTTAATAACGGAAACCTCGAACAGTTATTTGCCTCCAAACTGTGAAATAACCATGAAGAGAACAGGGTCTGGAGTACACAGATATGTCTGTGATATGGCTGTAAAAGAAAGTTAAAGCCCAAATTTCTACAGTAGGTGGTCAAGAGGTAGTTATTTAAAAGTAAATGCTAAGAAGATCCTAAGCATTTTACTTAGAGATATGCAGGCAAATACCAGAAGAAACAGCAAGGGAGTTAAAAGTTTCTGGAGAGTGGGACGAAAATAAAGAGGGATGGGACAGGAGACTGTTACTTGTATTTCATGTTATTATATACTTTGCAGTTATTATTAATTCTATTTCACTTTCACAGCCATATGTGTGTGTAAATTGTATCTACCTATTATCTCTCTAGCTAGCTAATTTTGATTTTAAAAACATCACCCATTTGGACCAGATGAATATGACATTGCTGAAGAGAGAAATGGAGTTTCTAGAAGAGAACTTTTTGGGGCTTTGAGGAACATTTGAGAGCAGCAGCAGAAACCTGTAAGATGGTATGGTTCAACCCCCTTATTTTATGAAAATGAGCAGACTGAGGCCTGAAAAAACTAAGTAAACTGTTCTCAAAGTTTCAAACAAGTCTCAAAATCAGAAGCTCACTAGGACTCCTCCTCAGGTCTCCAGAGGCCCAGGCCACAGCTTTCTGCGCCACACCCCTCCGGCAGGGCAAACAGGTGCTTCTCCAGCAAAGGGAAGGGCCGACCTTCTGGCTCTGGACTGATGTAGGAAAAGAGCAAGGGAAGTAAGGCAGAGACACCTAGCACTTCTGAGCATCAGGCCGAAGGGCAGCTCCTGCCTTCGCGAGTTCATGCTCCTGCAGTGACCCTAAATAGGCATATACGTGAGCATATGTGTGCGCTTTCTGGTTTTTGCTGATTGAGATGAATCTCTAAGCATCAGACTGAAGTACAATACAAGTCTTACTGAAAGCCAGATAGATTATAGACATTATAAATGTTTGATTTCAGGCCTCACGTGAAGGCGAGAGTGGAGATCTGCTGGTTGAATGAATTCATAAATGCTATCTTGTGTCTCCCACGCCTGGCCTTACACAGTAAATACACCTCCTACTGAGACAGGGAGTATTGACTCTGAGAGAGGCCAAAGGAAGACACAGCCATTCGGACCAGAAATGGACATTTGGGGAGGCATCAAGACAACGCTGATAGGTCTTCAGCTACCACCATCTTTATGAAAAACAAAGTCCTATGTGTTTTAATCACTTGGGATACCTATATTCGTAATAGTTAATTTTTCAGATTGCCTATAGCCCCACCAAGCAAAGTGTGGCCCATGGACTGGCAGGCCGGACATCAGCTGGGAGCTCATTAGAAATACAGAACCCTGAGCCCCACCTACACCTAATGACTCAGAATCAGCATCAGTGTGTTAACAGAATCCCCAAGTGTTTCACAAGCACAATAAAGTGCAAGAAGCTGTGGTTGCCAGCCTTATTTTCTAGGTAAAATTATAATTTTAATATATTTTAACTGGAATCGGAAGCCAATGATATACTGAAATATCGAAAAATGAGCAATATCTTGAAATAAATTAAGATAAAGAAAAGGCACCTGGAGGTCAGGTTAAACTCTGTAATAAGTGGTAAATAATCTAAGTGGGAACTGTATTTCTCAGTTGCCAGTTTTTATTGCAACAAAAGGTGTCGGGGGGTGACGCTGGATGCTTTGGGGGTGCTTGACGGGAAATCTGGTGGTCTACCCCACTTCCTAAGCGTCAGCTGGCTTGGAATGTGCCTTGATTCCCTCATCACAGTGCAAAATCAGTACAGTGTCTAGAAAAATAAATGAAATACAGAAATTTGACCTCAAGTGGCTGAGCAAATGGGCCAAAAACCCCCCACAAAAAAACCCCCAAAACCCCCAAACATCAAACCTAAAACTCAAAAAACAAACCCAACAAACAGGGTGAGGTCTGTCCAGAATCTAAATAAAGGTGATAGTATTATGGGAAAAAACCTCAAGGACTTAAAGGATATCTTTCATTAAACATGTAGTCAGATGACAAAAATCCATTAGATACACCTATCAGAAAATCAATTCAAAAGAACACTCACCGAGAGGAAAGGCTTGGCTTCCCACTTTTGCTACAGCTGGTATAAATTCCTGGGCCATCATCAAAGAAGCTCCCGAGTGCCAGCTTCTGTCGGATAGATTCTCTCTCATTTTTCTGTGCCTAAAATTTCAGGAAAATAAAAAATGCCGATAAGCGGGCAGAAAAACATCACAGCCACGGGCGGGCTAACTGTTAGGGTTTCTTAGTACTGTAACATTAGATGAAAAATGAATACGTAGGCCACAGCAAAGGGCATTTGAATTATTAAGGGCTGGAATTAAACCAGTCTCCCCTGGTTCCACCTCTGCAAGCGATTTTAGGTCTTCAGAGTGCTTTATGATCACCAGTCTGGGAAATCACCTCTGAGGTACTAAACAATCTCTACCAGGAGGGAACTAGACTTCTTGGAGCTGTGACCTTTCTTCTCACCTGCTAGATATGACAGAGTAAAGCTGTGGTGGGCAGGCATTTTGTCCTAAATCAAATTGCTTTTATCCCAAATGTGGCCTTTCCCTGAGTGCTGTCTTTTATATCAGACCTTCAGCCCACTTTCTGTATGGCAAGGACATGAACTCATTCAATCCACATGTACTGAACCTCGATAAGATGGCAGGGGCCACACTATGACACCGGAACAGAGCCCTGGACAGACAGACAGACAGACATAGCCTCTGCTGCCACCAAGCTCTCAGTCTTGGTGGGGACTAATTGCTTGTTCAAGAGTTCTAACAACTTTACCAGGTTTAGAATATGAGAAGCCCCGCCATATTGTCTGGGCTACCGGGAGGATTCTAATTGAATCCATCTGTTTCATATTTTGAAGGTAAGTCAGGTCGGTGTGCGCAGGAAAGGATCTGGTAAACGACACTACTGAGATAATTTGGGTATGTTTACAACACTTGGCTTCCCATAAAAGTCCCATAAAAATTCACCATGCTGAACTTTTAAACCCTTTAAACAACAGGAGAGAAGATTATGAATGATTTCCTTAGTTAAAAGTAAAACTACGAAAATAAACATCATGAGTTCGAAATCCTGGGATGAGGAGATTTTGGTGTTCTGTTTTGTGGTATGATGAAGGCTGCAAGAAGCATCATTTTACATCCTGAGCAGGAGGCTGAAGTCTATGCTGAGCAAATTAGGTTAAAAAACCCAGCTCCTATAACTGGGTGTGGCTCCAGAAGACATGATGGCCCCTGGGTCCTTCCAGTAGGAAGTTCGGGAGCCTCACCTGCTGCCACCAGGGCCCAGAAGTTACAGTGAAAGGTCAGAGGCATCATCTAAGCCTCACTGTGTCCTGGTGACAGAATGCACCTGTTGGGAGGGCAGGCTGAACAAGGGCTTCATTTCATCCCGAGTGAAGGGAGGGTACCATTGGTTATGGCTGCTCTAACGTAATAGTTACTAGTGACATGTGGCTATTTGCATTCAAATTAAAAATTAACTTAAGTGAAATTTCATTTCCTCAGTCATACAAGCTGCATGTGAAGAGCAGCTCCACAGCCACAGGTGGACATCACAGACTAAATATATGAGACAGCAGTACTGCTAAGCCATGGCTTCCCAACTGCCAGCTTCAACAGGCTGCAGCAGAATTTCCAGTGGAGACTTTAAAATACACGTTCTCATTGCTGCTCATCCTTCTGGCTGAGATCATGTGTAAAATACACATTCCTAGGCTCTAGGACCAGATATTTAGTTTCAATAGGTTTGAGAACATTTAATTCAAGGAAAACACATCTCTATTCTCTTTTTCTCTAACTTTTTTTTAAACCCTGGGACACTATAAAGATTTTTTTCAACTTTCACACTTAGCAAGTATATCTATCTATCTACCTATCTATCCATCCATCCATCCATCCCATTTTGGGATGTACTAAGCATGGGTGTTCAACCTGAGGCCCGTGGGCTGCAGGCAGCTCAGGATGGCCGTGAATGAGGCCCGACACAAAGTCATAAATTTACTTAAAACATTAGGAGATTTTTTTTTTTGCCCAGGCTGGTGTGTCTCAGTGGATTCAGTGCTGTCCTGCAAACCAAAGGGTCACTGATTTGATTCCCAGGTAGGGCACATGCTTGGGTTGCGGGCCAGGTCCCTGGTCCCCAGTGGTGGGTGCGTGAGAGGCAACGACACATTGATGTTTCTCTCCCTCTCTTCCCTTCTGTCTAAAAATAAATAAATAAAATCTCAAAGAAACCCCATTATGAGATTTTTTTTTTGTAATTACGTGTCACCATGTATTTAATATGTGGCCCAAGATAACTCTTCTTCTTCCATGTGGCACTGTAAGGGAACTGTATCACACTAAAAGGTGGGGGTGGGGTGGTGGGGGTGTGTGTGTGTGTGTGTGTGTGTGTGTGTGAGATATTATCATTTATAAGAAATATATACTTGGTCATTCAGATGACCAAAATATTTATCATATACTTGTTGTCTTTGTCCACAGTTCCTGACTCACAGCTCCTAAAACTCTTGCAATTTTGTGATGAGAAGGATACAGGTTGTCTACTGTTATGTGAATGAGGTGAACTTTCTGTAAAGCACCTAAGCATGAGTGCTGTTGCCAGGAAAATCAACTATGTGACCATGGGGTTGGAACTTTCAGTCCCACCCCCCAGCACTGGGGACAAGGTGTGGAGAGCTTCTGGGCTGGTGATCACACAAGAGATACAGGGGGAGTGCAGCACCTGGGGAGGGCGCTGAAACTTTGTGCCCCTTCCCACATCCCCTGCCCTAAGTCTCTCTTCATCTGGCTGTTCCTGAGTCATCCTTTTCCAGTAAGCCAGTGTTCTAGTAAGTAGCATGTTTCTCTAAGTCCTATGAACCATTCTAGCACGTTAATAAAACCCAAGGAGGGGGTTGTGTGAACATTTGATTTAGAGCCAGTTGGTCAACAACCTGGCCTTGCAACTGGCATTCTGAGCTGGAGGGGGTCATTGGAACCTTCAGTCTATAGCTTGCTGCTGACAAGTACAAGTAAGATCCTGGGCTTGCGACCAGCATCTGACGTGTATGTGAGTAGTCTTGTAGGACTGAACCCTTAGCCTGCAGAATCTGATGCTATCTCTGGGCACACAGTGTCAGAATTGAGTTGAACTCTTGGACACCCTGCTGGTGTCCAGAATTGTTTGTTTGCGGGGGGTGGGGGTGGGGTGGGGTGGGGTGGTGTGTGTGTGGGGCGGGGTGGTGTGTGTGCGTGTGTGCGCGCGCATCCCCCATGTTGGAATCGGGTTTGGGAACCCTAATTTAGTGTACAATATAGCCACAAAGTGAAAGACTACTTTTACAGTGATAGATACGATGCCGGTTTCAGATTGTTTACTGGGCTAGCACAGCACTGAGCCCTGCGAAAGTAACCATGGGGTTGCAAAGGGGAGCAAGAATGTCTTTAATTGCATTAAGCACTTGCAACTGCACTGCTGGGAGCCTTAAAGAAACCCACTCTTCCAAATAAGGCAGGAGTGGGGCTTGGGATGGTCCTGCCAAAACAGAACCATAGTACTTGACATATTTATTTAAAAAAAATTTTATTTCAAAAATCCCCAAAATCTGCCACTCAGATTGAATGTAGTCAGTGAACTTATTTCTCAACCCGTATAATATAGATAGAAGAGATTCTCACTCAATGTCTTCTAGTCAGAAAACTGTTGAATGGAACTGGAAACCCAAATACAAAATCAGTAGATAACAACAGAAGTATTAATGACGAATGTTCAACAACGGGCTGGTGCCAAGGGGTCTTCGCCTGGGGTCTGGAAGAGGTCTTATTTAAAGGAAACCCCTACCCGCGGTGTGAATGTGTGATCGCACCCTTGATTCCACATCCATCTTTTCTGATTTACTTGGTACACTAGACCCAGAGACACTGGAGAAGGCCTTAGAACAATTCTATACATTAATTACAATTCTTTATACCTAACTACTTCATTAACAGTTTAAAGAAGACTGTTACATAATGCACAACTTTTCCCCTTCTCTCTCCCTCTGGATATCACTGAGCAAATCAAGAAAAGTATAAAGAATATAAATGTGACCCATGACCCTACCACTTAGACACAGGTCACTGCTTGGTATATTTCTTTCTAGTCATTAATCTTATGTATGCATTTTTTTTCTTACTATAAAACTGAGATCATATTGTTTAATGTATTTTGAGAATTTCCCTCATCTCAATTAAAATTCTTTAAATACAACTTTTAAGGGTTATCACTCTATCCTATGCTAGCCATTTAGGCCGCATCCAATTAAAAACAACACACCTTAGCATTTTTACACACAACCCTGCCCTTACGTCTGATCGCTTCCTCAGGGTAAGTTCCTGGGAGGGGAATTACCAGAGCAGCGGGGTGTGAACATTTGTTGAGCTCCCAACACATTCTGTCACGTTGCCCAACAGAAAGCTGCTCCAGTGTACAGGCCCGCAGCCACAGAGAGGGTACAGCTTTCCCTACATCCTAACGCTGAGTATTTTCACTTAAAAAACTGCTGCTGTTTTAAATTTGACAGGCAAAAAGCTGAATTCTCTTTATTTTTATTTAATTACCAGTGAGATTAAACATTTAAATGTTTTTTTACTTACTGTACCTGCTTTTCTCCTAATTTTCCTACTCCTAGTTCTGCTTATTTTTCTATAGAAGTCTGAGAGTTTTGAAACTTTTAGAGAGCATTAACCCTTTTGAGTTTTAAGTCAAACTGTTATGTAGTTTTAAGTCTACAGCTTGCTTCCTCTGTCCTGGCTTGGATGGCTTTGTGCTCGGAACGCCCCGATACTGGAGGACTAAATGAAAAAATTTACATAAATTCTTTAGCAGCAGCACCTGGCCCAGGCTAACATCCATCTACCATAAATGGTAACTATTGTGGCTCATCCTCCAACAACTCCTGCTTTGAGGGTGATGAAATGGAAGGTGAGGGGAGGTTACCCTACCAACATAGAAGAGCTAGGATTCAAGTCCATCTTCCTGCTCTTCCACACCGATGAGTGAGGTCCAGGCTAATAATGATGGACAGCATGTTGGGGAGACAATGTGATACTTAAAGAGCTAGGTGGGGCTCTACGTTTTTCCTGAGATCGATGTGATGCTTCCTCAGAAGAGGAGGCCGCCCTGGACCGCAAAGC